TGCTGCAGGTCCCAATCTTGGATCTTTCTGGACGTGTAGTTTTCACAGTCCTTCCTTGCAGTGAGCTGCATTGGACTGACGTACTGACTGCCGACACATGGGTAACGAACTAGACCTGCTAGATTTCTAACCTACAAGCCTACTGGCCGGACCTACAGGCCTACAGATTTCTTGTTCAGACCGGGCCTACTACAGGGGCCAGTGGGAATTATGGTATATGGGACACGGGGACTTGGAACTGGGACCGGGGCTATAAGATGTGTGAAATTCTTTGATCGGATATAACAGGACCAAAAATGCCTTTTGTTGCAGGAATTCCAGTAGTGTGAACTTATGTGAATTGAGCCTGCATACGGTTCCACAGCAGATTGAAGCCCATGTAGAGAAAACCAATGAAAGATTGCAACATCAACTCAAAATCACAACATTCTCGGGTTTCATAGGTGGGCGGCCATACACACACAGCGTCAACAACGCGTAGGTTTCTCTCTCTCCCTACTATCCTACTTACAGGCCTCTGAATCCCTCTTCGAATACCTCCCTCTTCTTTTTCATCAACTAGTAACTACTGGAATCCTCTCCAAATACCTCCCTCTTCTTTCTCGCTAACCCCTAACTATGGCGTCTGGTGCTGGTCAACTACCACCATCACTCTCACTCTTGCTTGTCACTCCTCGAGTTGCAGAAGGCCGCAATAAAGAAGCCCCAAACACTCGTGAACAGACTTTTGTACATTGACGATGGAATTCCTTCTGTTTGGACCATCTTGCTGGCCCCCACTTGCTGCCACGGTCCTGTGACATTCAGAAGCTTCTGGACTCCCCTTTGACGGGGCTGCTCACTGGAGCGACACTCTGCCAGACCCTAGCGACCCGCGAAACTGCGAACTGGTTCAGCCTATATGGACATTCGGGACAATGTGCATGGCACCTGAGATATGGTACAGGGAACCAGGGACTCTGGTACAGCAGAAGTCTAAGGCTGTGGTATTTAGTGAGTTGTGATACTATTGCATCCTTTCATGTGAATATCATTTATGCCTTGATGACACCCTTCCCTGATGGATTCACTATGTTTTGCATCAAGGTTGATCTATGGCATCAGGGAAAGACTGAAATGAATCATAATTAGAATGGTGGGTTCCCTCTTGATGGCACACTGGAAGAATAGGCTTAATTGAAGCGCAACGGCTTTGTGGGTGGGCTTTTGTATGGTGGAGTGCAGGCTTGTAGTACAGGCTTTGATCTTACGCTGTTTCTCTGCAGCAGGCGTTCCATGTGGTTTTTCTGCTGTCATTCAGTGAGGAGTGAATTCTTACACATTGTTGTTTGTAATATCTGTCCGTTGTTTGTGATTTCTGTAGGATGAATGCAAGCGCCTACGGCAAGTCATGAAGCTCGGCATTTATCGTCCCTTGCGAGTGGTAAGCACTGTCAAGATACATGGGCTTCATACACCATTGATGAGAGGCCAAGGAATCCCTCGGGGCTGAGTGGCTGTGTGGATTCGATTGCTGGTGGACTTTACGGTCTGGCTAAGTTCGCCGATTTGCTTGCTTGATTTTGTTTGCACCTGCGCTTCCACAGGGCCTTTCAACATCGATGTTTGGGGTGTTTGGTTCACTGGGCTGTGAAGCCAGATTGGCCTTTGTAATTTTGGTTGGTGTCTTCAGTTTTGGAAGTTTTGTCTGATCCCATTGTTAGTCTTCCTATCGCAGGTTAACAATTTTGTTGAGTGGCGAGTATGAGCATGCAGAAGTTCATCACACACGATGTCAATTCAGCAAGACTTTGTGCAATTCCAGGGAAGTTTGCACACTCATAATTGAGTGAAAGCACACTCATAATTGAGTGAAAGCAATCATACTTGATTTGAAGCTTTGCTGAAAATTAAATTGCTTATACACACTTGAATCCTCGTGTCCGCAGGGGTGCCCAGCTGCCCAGATTACACAGCGTCAACCGGAATAGATCATGTAGATTGCCAGAACTGCCTGGCCATTGCTGCACCCAATCTCCCTGGTATCGGTGCTAAAAATAATCCTACTTCTTCTTCCCACTTCCTCAAATTCGTAAACTGAAAATCTGTTGGTTCGGCTGTCAGGCTCGTGACTTTTGCTGAGCTGCTTTCAATCCTATACCTACCTGGTCTCCCCGTTGGAAAACTTAGATCTACCCGTCTGGAATGGTCTATTCTAAAGGACACGTCCTAGATTCGAATGCTGGCAGCAACAAACAGCAAAAGTCAAATTCCTGAGAGAATTGTGGGTTCAAATCCCCGGCAACCCTCCCCCTCATTTCAAGGTCCTTTGAGAACGTTACTTGGATCTATTAAGAAAGACTCTGTCATAGGAAAAAAGGAAAAACATCGAATTCGATGTTATAGTTTGTACGGAAATGGTAAATGTGCAGTGATTAGACCTCGGATCCATCCGTGACACGCACGGAATCGAACTGGCACTGTTAGCCACAAGAGCCAAGTCTCTCAACCACTGCTGCCATGACACCATGTACAAAACTTCAACCCGACCTGTCGTGATGTCCATCCACCCCAGCCGTGCATGGCTCTAGTGTCCTCGCACACACCAGAGAGTGTTTGCTGTGGGTGTCATTTCCATGGGCTGTTCTTTTGGACCACATTATAGAAACAGGGGCTTCTAGGGTGTTTTAAGCAGTAGAGCTCCCGGTGTAGTGTGGAGATCTTATGGGTTTGGCGTAGTTTACACAGTGGCTTCATTGTAGCAGTAGATCATTTGATTCTGCAGTTTGTGCGGCAAGGGTGGTTCATGGCACTGTTTGTCTGATTTCTGGTGGTTTTGTGTGGCGACTCAGAGGGCTCTCTAAGTCTTTTCAGACCTAGCCTTAGGGGTTGCAGGCGTGGTCTGTGCTTTCTTGTTGGGAGGGCCTTTTGGGTTTAATTGGCCATGTTCTTTGTAATTGTTGTTCGTTTGGTATTGCCTTATGCCCTTCATCCTTCTATAGATTATAATATATTTGTGCAAGTGTGCCGCTTTGGTGGCAGAAGGGTGTGTGGGCACTTGGCGCTTAATCACACAAACGTGGCCAACCTTGCACCTTCTACTATATTGCCTATCTATAACCTTTTTGGTTTATGGATGATATGTGATGATTTGTGGATGGAATGGGGGAGAGACAGTTTCGGGCTCCTTGAAAAAAAAACACACAAGGCCGTAAGTGTTGATACATGCTCGTTCGAGCGATGTACGTGGAGCCAAGGATCCGCAAAGTGATGAAGAGGACGCGAATGGACAATGCAGCGTCAGCCAAGCATCAACAAGCAATGTGCATCTAGATACATATGAAAATAGCATAATGCAGTGCAGCGGGAGACTAAAAGATATGACCTTACCTGACAGATACTGACGCGACACCCCATCATACACCACACATGTGAGAGGGAGAGGAGGGACTGAATACATAGAAGAAAGGTCCCTCCTTGAGCACGCACATGGGGGAGATACCACGGATGACGAGATGACAGAGAGGCGAGACGAAGATGGAGAGGAGGGAGAAGACCAAGATTGCGATGGCGAAGTTCAAAAATAGTCTCCCCGCTGAATGTCCAATCAATGTCTGCCACAAAAATGTTGAATCAGATCCCGGGCCTCATAGCCCGATGTAACCTCCGCCTGTAAACTCTCCCTCTCTCTCTCTCTCTCTCTCTCTCTCTCTCTCTCTCTCTCTGAAAGAAGAAGAAGAAGAAGAAGAAAAAGAAGCAGAAGAAGAAGAAGAAGAAGAAGAAGAAGAAGAAGAAGAAGAAGAAGAAGAGATAGAGGTAGAGGGTGAGGACAGCAGGAAGAAGAAGATGCCGCCTCCTCGCTGTCTCACCTGCAGGTAACTGCCGGCATTGAGCTGCCGCCTCGCGTCTGGTGCAGGTCGCTGGCGTGGACCCAGCTATGGCGCTGAGGTAAGTACC